TCTTCCCCTCTTTCCAAAATGAATAAACATAACCTTGAGTGAGGATTACACAAATTTCTTTTAAAGAGTCAAAATCTTGAGCTGGATGTATTCATCAGATGAAATGTGTATTCATCAGATGAAATTTGTATTCATCTTTGAAATGCAAGACAATTTTGGAACAGAAAACAGATTCCTGCCAGGCTTGCAGTCTCACAGGGAAGCAGACAGAGAAGTTCCAGCACACTTACATAAGGTCATGACAGGGACATGCCAGTGCTGTCAGGAACTGATGGTCCCTAGAAAAAGTACCTGCTAGTTTCAAGCACTCACATATCATCTCTTTACCTGGAAAACTTTCTACCACCCCCTTTTCCTAGTCAATCTTACTACCACTCTAAAACTTGGCCCAGCTTCCTCCAGGAAAGTTACTGACACCAGAGACTAGACCAGTCCTCAATGATATGTTTCTGTGGAAGCCTCTAACTTCCCATTACATCAGGTGCCACAGTTTATAATCACAGGTATGTATGTGTGTTTGTGGAAACTCCACTGTCTGTGGCCCTCCATAGGGGATCCACACACATCTGCTCATTGATACACATTGAATCAATGAACAAACAATACTTTTCCTAATTACTTAACTGAAAAAATTCTACATTATATCCTATCTTTACCATAGCTATAATTTTCCTCCTATTGTGAATTTATCTTGGTAATTTTCAAGCTCATTAATATCTTTTGATGATTCACTCAGTAAAAGTTGATTTATACAGTGAAGCTGGCCTACAAAGATAGGCTAGACTCTGCCAATTCATTTAGTCCCTAAGATGCTATGGGGTTTCTCTGCAAAAAAATTTACTTCTTCCAATCTATCACATAAAATTCTGATATGAATGGCTTGAAATCACTTTTATACAAATAACTATGAACATAATTTACTATAACTAATACACCAATTTTAGGGGTAATAAATTCCACTGAAGCCTAAAAATCCCTTGATAGGTTACAATATCCCTGCATTAGTTAGCCCAAGGGACTCTCTCTGGAATGATATGGCAGAAAAAAAAACACTGGGAAGGTCCTTTTCAGGTCCTGCTCATACCTGGTCAGAGCAGACGGCCACCAGTCACCCTTCCAATATATCAGTGCCACTGCCACCGAGTGGGCCTCCCAGAACCAACCACCAACCAGGACAGCACAACCCGGTCAAGTTCTGTTTGGTGCCCTAAGCAAAACTTGCAGACTCCTGCCCTGCCCTGCCCTGCCCTGCACAGACTGTCCAGCTGGCAGGCCTCTCACCATGGGGACCTTGGCCCAGGTGTGGGGCCTTGTGGGCAGTGAATGTGAGCAGGCCTCTGTCCCAGTCCACCGTGACCTGACGGTGCATTCCTCTGGTACCTGCTGTGTCATTCTGCTGTCTTGGTATCTACACTCTGTCATGAGAGAGTATGGCAGAGGTGACTATAACCTGGACCCAGGTGTCAGGACATTTAATCCTAAAACCAGAGCTGCTGCTCAGTAGTGTGTGAGATTGGGCAAGTGATTTAACAGCTAACCCTCAAATCTCCGGTCTTCAGAACAGGATCCAAAGAGTATCTCATGTGTTACTGAGGAGTAAATGAGATAATGCATGTGAAAAATTTAGGATAGAGCCTGACATGCAGTAAGAATTCACAGCTTAGCTACCACTACAATCTTTATTTTACCCACCCCCCTCCCACTACTACTAACTTTCTTCACAATCCTTTCAATGCACCATCTAAATGCTTCATTCTATTGTAAACAGATTCCCCTAACCCAGTGGTCAGCAAACTGCGACTCACGAGCCACATGCAGCTCTTTGGCCCCTTGAGTGTGGCTCTTCCACAAAATACCACGTGCGGGTGTGCATGTACAGTGCGATTGAAACTCCGTGGCCCATGCGCAGAAGTTGGTATAGTTTATATAGTTTAAGTTTAAAAAATTTGGCTCTCAAAAGAAATTTCAATTGTTGTACTGTTGATATTTGGCTCTGTTGACTAATGAGTTTGCCAATCATTGTCCTAACCCATATCCACTTCTGAGAAGTTCCCTCCACTTATTTTGTGGATGCTGTAACAAACCTGGCTCTGGGTTGGGCAAATGGCTTTAGTTGTAGCTATTCAGTATAAGTGCCTCAGGCTTCCACACCACAGGGACAGAAGGATACTATACCAACTCCCCTGACCACTCTAGGCCACTGTGTATTTACTGTTAGCAGACACTTCCCTGTGCACCCTTGCATGCCTGGTTGCGCATCGTCATGCTGTGTTTCCTTTCCATTGCTCAGATACCCCAGTCACTCCCAGAACCAGAGATGGCATTCACAGTACTTGCTGGCCACATCCCTTTGCAGGGAAAGTGCTTGAACCCATGGCCCTGTTCTCTGAAACAGCCATACCTCAAGCCCTAGTCCCACAGCCACTGCACAACTATAAGGAGTGAGCACAACTGACTCAAGTCTGTCCAAAGCTAGAAAACAAAGGTGGTTCAATCAAACTCCCTCCTTGGAAATTTTAACTAGGAAACATTGAGAAAAAGACCATCAATGGGAATTAAAGGATGAAATTAAAAGGATGTAAAAGGTGGGAAAAGGCTGTGTGTATTTACAAATTGTGAAGAAGTAGAAAGCATAGGGAAAATAATGACAAGCGGAAGTTATTAGGAAGAAAGGACATCGAGCAAAGCTACTGATGAGAAGAGAAAAGCAGATGTACAGAGAAGCAGGAAAACAGAACACTCAGAACTGCACAGCTGGCCCTGAGCCCTTTCTAATCCATCCTCATGGGCGTGCGACACAAGGAAGCCTGCTTCTTACATCTATGCGCCCTCACAGCAGCATGACTAATCCCTGAAGACTGTCACTAGTTCACAGTCCTGTCCTCTCTTCTGCTGCCACCATCACAGGAACTTTCATGCCAAGTAGAACCCTGATTCTCGCCTCTGACACCTGCTATGAACACTCTACATCAGCAGCCCTCTCCCAAAATAGGACAGCACAACCCGGCCAAGTTCTGTTTGGCACCCTAAGCAAAACTGCTAGAGCACCATCACCAGCCTGCACCAAGTAATGCTCCACGCACTACCTGCTGCTCCCCAACCCCTCTGCCATTTCCTGAAGTGGCTGGCCCCGTCACCCTCACTCTCCTCAAATCTTCTCCAGCAACCCTTTGCTGGCAGACTCCCTTGAGAAACTGAGGCTATTAGAAACCTTTACCATCCTGCCCTCCATCATCTATAGCTGTGACAATATTCTAAAATTACAGGCAGCACCACTTATACTTGTCCCTTCCTTCCCTCCATTCCCCTAATCTTCATTTTCTCTAATTGTTGACAAACACAGCTTATAGGCAACCTCTCTCCTATTTTCCAAGCAGCTTACCATCAACACACTATTGTTGTTAATTTAGCTTTGGGTCTCCATTTAATGCTTCCATTTCACATTGGGGAATATGTGGCTTTGCAGGCTTCCCTCACCCCTCCCGACCCCAAAGTACGGCCAGGATGCAGTCATGGTAGGACAGGGGCATTTTGTGATCAACATGAAATTTAAAACCATATCTGCAAGTTTTCTCTATTTTTTTATTATATATTTATTACATATTATTTTTTACAGGTATATGAATTGATAGAGAGGGAAACACAGAGTTGACAAGATACAGTCACACAAAGTCCACCAGCACATTTTTTAAAATGGGAGGATCCACATAGCCTAATTAAATCCCACCTCTGTTGATTACTATTCATGTCACTGACCTTCCTCCTTAAACTTCAATCAGAATTATTCACTTCCTCTGATGTGGTGGATGGTATTTTAGCTGCCTCCCCTCATCCTGCAGAGGATGCAATGGAAGCTCTAGAGGTAGTTTATGGACCTCAGGGTACAGTACGCAGAAAGTAGGACAGCTATTAAAATAATGCTCATTTTGAAAATTTAGTTTGGAAAAATGGTACTTTTAGAGACTTAAGCCATTCTGATCTAATTTTTTTTCACCAGCTTCTAAATTCTATGATCCAAACTTTTGAATTTGAAACTTTTTTTGGAACTTATTACCAGAGCAAGGGATGGATTAGAAAAAAAAAGAAATTTTTATTTTTTGAAAGGAAAAAAACATTTAGATGAGGATTAAAAGGACTGGTATAAGCTTTCTCAAAAAAAAGGGAGGGAGGAATTTGTTCATAATAATATATCTGAGTGTTTTATGAAGTCTTTATAACAATAAGCATGTTAAAGGTATTATCACAGATCTTTCAATTAAATAACAAAGTTAAGTATTATAAAATCAAGTTTTTTACTGGATTCACTTTTTGATTAGGTAGTAACCAATAATATATCACAATAAAATTTTTTGATTTTTTTAAATTGATTTCAGAAAGTAAGGGGAGAGAGAGAGGAAGAGATAGAAACATCAATGATGAGAGAGAATCATTGATCAGCTGCCTCCTGCACGCCCCCTACTAGGGATTGAGCCCATAGTCTGGGCATGTGCCCTAACCGGGAATCCAACTGTGACCTCCTGGTTCATGGGTTGATGCTCAACTACTAAGCCACACCAGCTGGATAAGAATTTTTTTTTTAAGTTTAATATAACTTATAAAGAACTGTAAAATATACACATAAATCTGCTCAGGAGATTTATCTCAGTGCAGTGGCAAATGCAATGGCGTGAGCACACTCCGCCTATACAAGCATCCTCGGCACACCGGGAAGTGGCAGCGCCTGCCTGAGTAAGCCCCCTAAAGCCCCTACATAGTACCCTGATCTTTGCTACCATTGGTTGCCCTAAGGATGGTGTAAACTTCTGATTGGTCCAGAATGTTATATATACTGCTGCACTTACACAATAAACTCAGATCTGCGTCATTGAACCTGGTCTCTGGAGTCAGGCATGATTCGTTAGGACTCCGTCGGCCTCACCCCCCATCGGCCTCACCCCCCCGCGGGACCCCCTGCTTCATTCTGGCGTCACGAACAGGGACCCTGGCAAGAAAGCATTGAGTCGGGTGAGTGCCCCTCTGTAATGATGGGAAACCTTCCCCCCTCAGCCTGAGCCCCTCAGGCTCGGGCACTCCATGCGTTGTTACAGAGCAGGCGAGTAAAGGTAACAAAAAGGGAGCTACAAAAGCTCTGGGATGTTCTAATAGCATTTAACCCCTGGCTCTCTGCCACCAGCGGTGTGGGTGGGGGAACAGAAGACCCTTTACCTCCCTATTCCCCTCCAGAGCCTTCTGCCCCCGCAAATTCCTGGGCTGTTTTCAACAAGCCAAAAGTAGTTTCTCAAAGCTCAAGGAAGGCTCAAACTGAGAGAAAAAACCTCTAGCGAGGAGAAAGCAGGGGAGTTTCACCAGGAGGCTTCCTGCCGGAGTCACTGCCTCGCTTCCCTTGCAGAGCGAACAAAAAGTTTAACTGCCCAGCGGCCCCCAAGTAACCCTTTCATGGGGGACACGGATGATAATCCATGGATGGGTATATATCAATCCTTGTGTAGACAGAGAGATAGAGCAAAGAAGTCCTTAGGGCTAGAGACCCCTGGACTCTTTCCTGTGAATGATAACCCCACAGCTTCAGCAAATGCCACTGGATCTGCAACCATATTCCCGATATCCAAATTGTTAATGCAGAGAAAGAAAAAAAAAGGGCTGTTGCCATGGAGAGAGAGTTCTTTGTTGGTTTTTGCTTATCTAAGGTATGTGAGGACCCTAGCTGCTAGCAAGCAAACTTATCTCTGTCCAGTTTTCTTCTCTTTAACCCTTCCAATACTAAATTAGACTAATACAATATACTTAAGATTACACAAGAAAGAAAGCACCTACTCTTATTAATCTAAAGAAATGCTGAATGCTAAACTTGCCAGCTAAGAGTTTAAAGTTCTAGTTAAATTAAATTGGGAAAAATTATAATTGTGGTAACTAAATGCCTAAAGTATAAAAAGAAAATCTTGTCAGTTTTAATTTAATTGATATCTCTTAATAATTATAAAAAGTACTATAACCAAGGAATGACTTTGAGATATTTCATGGGCCCTGCAATGTTTTCAAAAGTTTCTTCTCTCTTCTTAAAGGATTTTTTAATAAAGCTAATTTAATGTGCTTGAAATCACATGGAAAGCTTTATCAAATAAAAATTAATAAATATATATCTTGAGTTTTTGCCTCTAAGAAAGGGCAAAACAAGTTATTTTATATAATATTTCTTAAAATACAGCAGTAGAATTTTAAGATGTAATTTAAAATAACAGAAGCTCATTAATAATTTTTGATATTTTATAACAGCATATTATACATTTATTCCAAACAAGCTTACAAACTAATTGTTTGGTAGCAATTTAATAAAAATATGAGAGGATTTAATCCCTTCCACTGTGTGGAAGGCCCCCTGGGAAGGCACTTAAGCATTCTATATTGACCTCTCTTGCCCTTTTTGCCAAAGGGGTCCCTCTTCCAATTGCCCACAGCTGTTGCCTGAGCTCTCTGTTCATGCTGAGGTTGAAGCCTCATAGTGGCTAGCTAGTACCATAAATCTCCCAGATAACAGAGACTTGGCTAACAGCAGCTACCCTATATCTAATTCCAGCCTAACACCAGGAATGCTCAGGGCCTTCTCAAAGGATGCAAAATAATCCTTTCCATTAATATTTACAGTGTAAACTAAGATTGTTGTTAGAGTATTAAATTTGACAGTAAAATAGTAGTCAAGTTTTCAGATTAATTAAAAGTGGCTCAAAATTTTCATTGCATAGATAAATTGCTTAACATACTATAAACCTAAAGCAGTCATATTTTTACACAAAAAATTAAAATTAAAAGTTATCAAGACTACACTAAAAAATTTCCAAAAACCTCCTAATATTAAGAAATCAAAAAAGGGAGGATAGTGGAAAAATACCATGTAAAGAAAGATATCCTGTAACTAATTTACATCTTGAAAAATTTTTCATTTATAATGCTAACAGCAAGACACCCATGTAAAACCTATGTGGTGTCAACATAAACCAAAGGAAATTCATTTAAGCAAAAATAAATAGCCCTGCAAAACCTGCAGCCCCCTATTGCCTTTAGGCCCCCTCTAGCCACAAGGGGTGAACTCCTGGGGGCTCCAACTCAATGCCTTATGGCAAGCAGATGTGACTCATATTCCGAGCTGCGGAGGGCTCGAATATGTACATGTAATCATTGACACTTGCTCTGGGGCCACGTATGCTCAGGCTCACACAGGTGAAAAGACTCGCCACACAGTAGCAACCCTCAAAGGGGCATTTTTTCTTCCCCTGGAAAATTAAAACAGATAATGGTCCCTACTATACTAGCGAGGCTTTTCAGCAATTTCTCAAGAAACATAACATCAAACACTTTACTGGCATACCATACAACCCATAGGGACAAGCCATTGTAGAACAACAGAACAAAGAACTAAAAACCCATATTCAATAAGAAAAAGAAGGGGGAAATACAGGCACACCCCAACAACTATTACAACAGGCCTTATTAACTCTCAATTATTTTCATTTTGCCCCTGACGGTCTTCCTCCCACTAACCAAGGCATGGAAGGGCCCCGACCCACTCTTAACCCAAGGGAGAGGGTTTGCTTGTGTTTTTCCAGAAGGTGAGAAAAATCCTGCGTGGATTCCTGCCCGTAACATCAAACCCTGCACCACCAGCGATGAGCCATAGACCACCATCACCATCACCTCCAGTAGAGGAAATGGAGGACCTGACCATAGAGGACAACCAGCCCAGTGGCGGAGACGACCAAGACATCGACGAGCCCACAACATTACCTGGGGAGACATCAAGAATCTACAGGATGAAGCTGCATGCATGGCACCAGAAGGCAATCCGTCAGAAGGGACATTATTCCTATTAATGTGTGCCATCATAACAACGAACTCTCAGGTGCGAGCACAGCATGTATGGGCGGCCATACCTCATCCAGGGGTGCTCATGCCTGTCAGCGCCGACAGCCTACAATTCCCTGCTGTCCAAGTGTCTAACTGCTCTGTGGGCTTACCCTGTGATGGAGCGGAACCAGTCTCATTGCCATAGAATGGGATGGTATGGGCTGATAGCAGTAGCCCTAACCTCCTTAAGTGGACTCTAGATAATGGGACTGCCCCAGGACAAGGGTGGATATGCCTAGCACCTCATGCAATAATACCCAAGTGAAACCCGTTGAATTTAGTTTCTTAAGTGATGCCCTCAGCCGTCTCATTTGGGGAGTCATGATAGTAAGATTCTTCGTAGAATAGTATTATTTCGCTGTTTATACAACATGTTCCTTAAGCTAAGTGCCCAGCAAGCCATGATCATACACGTCCAGCAGGCGCTAATAAGAAAAGAAGGGGGAGATGTGGAAAGAGCTCAGGAGATTTATCTCAGTGCAGCGGCGGCTGCAATGGTGTGAGCACACTCCGCCTATACAAGCATCCTCGGCACACCGGGAAGTGGCAGCGCCTGCCTGAGTAAGCCCCCTAGAGCCCTTACATAGTACCCTGATCTTTGCTACCATTGGTTGCCCTAAGGATGGTGTAAACTTCTGATTGGTCCAGAATGTTATACATACTGCTGCACTTACACAATAAACTCAGATCTGCGTCACTGAACCTGGTCTCTGGAGTCAGGCATGCTTCGTTAGGACTCTGTCGGCCTCACCCCCGCGGGACCCCCTTCTTCACATATAGATGTGGGGGGAGGGCACGTGTGTGTATCTGTCCATTATTTTTCTAATTCTCAATGATACACTTCCTCTAACTACTGATAGATTCCCCTTCACTGGGAAATGACTCTTTTGGTCATGATAAAATAATCCTGGGTCTTATGTAAAAGTTCTATGATAAACCTGCCGACTTTTCATTTCCACAGGGGTGGGGTTCTAAGCAGAAGCCAGCTGAATTAGCTGTGCTTTCTTGTGGAATTCATACTATGTCCTACCATAACTTATTAGCCGTAGAATGTACCTTTTACCTTAGTCAATTAAATACCCAAATTTTCAGGTAAGGGCATGGCAGATACATAATTTTAGGGGTGGGCATGAGGAAAGAAATGTTTTTTGCCCTTAACTATTTCTTACATACCTGCAAACCACTAAAACACGGAACAAAATAAACCCCTTCAGAATCTTCCAAACTTCTGGCCATTTTTTCAGTCTCAGCAGCATCTGTGAAAAGATCTGCAAATATAAAAACAAACAAACAACAAAAAAAATGTCTAAAACAAAATGAAAAGGTTGAGGAGGAACAAAGTATTGTGTTATATGACCAATATTTACCTGTGTCCACATTTATTATGAATTTAGTATGAAAGATTACTCACTTAAAAGGGTCAACACAAAGGCCAATCTATTTGGGTTCCTTTACAGGGAGCCCACAGAAGGGCAAGGGAACCAGAGGCCCTCTTAGCTCAGCGTGCAGCAGGCCTTACTTTTCCTTTAAAGATATTTAGGCTGTCTAAAAATATAAATTTTAGGTGTGTTTTTGGCATTAAAAGTTCATTCTTCTGAAGATTACACCCATTCCAGTTTTTTGATGAAAAGATCTCTCTTGGTTATTAAAATCTAGAGGCCTGGTGCATGGATTCGTGCACTGGTAGGGTCCTTCAGCCTGGCCAGCACCCTTTCGCAATCCAGGACCCAGTGGGGGATGTCGGACAGCAGGTTTTGGCCCAATCCCTGCAGTCCGACATCCTCCAAGGGATGTAGCAGTGCAGGAAGCAGCAGGCAGCCAGGGAGGAGACAGGGCCAGGCGCCACTCCTGCTCATCCAGGCCCCACTGCACCTGCCGCTGCCGCTGCTTGGTAGTGCTGCCACAGAGGCGGGAGAGGCTTGTGCTACTGCAGCTGCGCCATGAGCTCAGCTTCTGGCTGAGCAGCGCTCCCGCTATGGGACTGCACTTATCACCAGGGGGCTGCTCCTGCATTGAACATCTGCTCCCTGGTGGTCAGTGCGCATCATAGCGACCAGTCAACTGGTCAGTTAGTTGCTTAGGCTTTATAAATATAGATAATAACCAACAGAATCAACTGAAAAACTATGGATCTTAAGGGTTCGATAAGGGGCAGTAACAATTAAATATATCAAAAGTTAACCTTTAAAAAAAACCAGGCCAAAAAAAATCAAGATCTAATTCATTTAATATGGTTTTTACTGATATATATACAGAAAAATGCACAAAGCCTAAGTGTATAGCTGAATGAACTTTCACAATGTGAATATAATAAGTTAACCAACACCCAGGTCAAGATACAAATTTCTTTGTTCAACATCATGCTTCTGAGATTCAGTCATTTTGTTACAAGTAGTTGTGCTTCATTCATTCTCACCCTGTAAGGTATTCCACTGTGTGACCATACACAAATGATTAGACTAGCTATAGTTAATAAACATATGGGTAGCCAAAGCCGGTTTGGCTTAGTGGATAGAGCATCGGCCGTCGGACTGAAAGGTCCCAGGTTCGATTCTGGTCAAGGGCATGTACCTGGGTTGCGGGCACATCCCCAGTGGGAGATGTGCAGGAGGCAGCTGATCGATGTTTCTCTCTCATTGATGTTTCTAACTCTCTATCTCTCTCCCTTCCTCTCTGTAAAAAATCAATAAAATATATTTTAAAAAAATAAACATATGGGTAGTTTCCAGTTTTAGAATAATAATAAACAGGCCACTTTGAACTTATAGATATTCTTTTTGGTGAACATATGTATGATATATATTGTGTGCTATATACCAAGGGATGAAATTGCTAGTCCTAGGAGCTTCACATTTAGGACTAGCTTTAACAGATAACTGTTAAACTACACTGAGTGGCCAGATTATTATGACCGGCCAGATTATTATGACCACCCCATCAGTACTTTGTTGGGCCACCTTTTGCCTTCCATGCTGCGGCAATTCTTCTTGGCACTGACTCCACGAGATGTTGAAAGGTGATGTGAGGAATCTGACACCATGCCTGATGAATAGCACTGTCCAGTTCTGTAAGATTTGATGGTTGTGGAACCAGCTGCCTGATGGCTCTTTTAACTTCATCCCACAAATGCTCAATTGGATTGAGATCTGATGTTTGTGGGGGCCACCTAAGCAAGGTAAAGTCTCCCTCGTGTTCTTGAAACCAATCCTGCACAATATGAGCACCGTGGTATGGTGCATTGTCTTGTTGGAAGAAGCCATCTCCATTGGGATACGCCATCAACATGATAGGATGAACTTGATCAGGAACGATACTTAGGTATGTTGTGCTATTCAGACATTTATAATGATCTGGCCCTCTAGCAACTTCAGCGTGAAATTATAGCTAATTTGCCTACAAACGTCAGGTGGTCATAATAATCTGGCCACTCAGTGTATTTTCCAAAGTGGTTCTACCAATTTAAGACTCCTGTATGGGAGTTCCAGTTACCCCATATTCATGCCAATAATTGATACTGTCTGTGTTTTTCATTTTAGCCATTTTGGTGGTATTGCATGATCCTTAGATTTTGTATTTCTCTCTTTACTAATGAAACTTCAATCCTTTTCATTCATCATTTGCATATCTTTGTTTGTGAAGTGACCCCTAAATGAGATCTGGGACTGACAACATAGATCTGATGTAAAAGCTCAGAAATAAATCATAATAAACATTGCTGCCTTATATAGCCTTTATTAAGTCAGTTTTATTTCTGCATGATTTTTTCTTATAAGAAAGAATTTGACAGCTGTCAGCCAGCTTTCTATACTCTGTCTCTATTTTGCTTATTAGTTAATTTTGTTCATTAGATTCCACATATGAGTAAAATCATATAAGTCTTAAATTCTGTTACCTATGAATGTGGCTTTATTTGAAAACAAGTTCTTTGCAGATGTAATTAGTCAATTTTAGGTCGTACTGGATGAGGATGAGCCCTAATCCACTGACTGGTGTCTTTATTAGAAGTCACTGAAAACAGACACACAGGGACAACTCATGTGAAGAGAGAGGCAGAGGCTGGAGGAAAGCAGCTCCAGGCCAAGGAGCTCTAAGGACTGCCAGCCACCACCAGAAGCCAAGAAGAGACAGAAAGCTACTGACACCTTGATATTTGACTTCTTGCTTCCAGACCTGTGAGAGAATAAATTTCTATTGTTTTTAAACCAACAAGAAAAGAAAAAGAGAGAGAGAAATAATTGATTAAAGACAAGAAGTTTAAGAAATATCTATATTAAAACTCAAGTTTATGAGGATCATTCAATAATAATTATAAATTTTCTTCAAAATGACAGTTATCAGAACCATAAGTCACATTCACTTGGTCAAAATGTCCAGATAATACATTAAAATGTCTGTAGCACTTCAAAAACTGATATTAAAATGAAAACATTGGTTTTGAAATCTATACTTACTAAAAAGTCATGTCCAAATTGAGATGTGGAAAACATATTAGAGGTCTGGTTTAAAGAACATTTTTGGTAACATGAAGAAATGGTAAAAAAAAAAACAAAAAAAAAAAACCTAGTTTATCCACATTCTTCACTGGTTCTTCCATTCTTTCTTGAAAAATTTCTCTAAATAATCTTCCATGTGAACTGTTCTCAAATGAGTGTAGACCTCACTCTGTTTCTCCCATAGCATGCAGAGAATCCTGGCTGGGGCTCCTAGCCACGCTATCTGAGGGCTTGAGCAGAAGAACAAGCTTGCAGTTAACACTGGAACTCCAAGTTCTACCAAATTGGCAGGAAGTTCCCTGCATTTTTATTTCCTCCAACATCCTGGCCTAGACTCAGAGACAGCCTGAAACCAGAAACATGTGTCTGTGCACTGGGTGCAAATACGAAGAGCTTCTAAATAAGCCCCCTCTTTCTGGTTTGAAGAGCAGGAGTCAGGTGGCCTTTAAAAAATAGAGTGGGCACCAGAACTTGGCTGGAGTTCCTGGCTAGAGATCCTGGCTAGGCTGCTGATCAACTGAACGCTGTCTCCATGTCATTCCTTCTTCGGCGACTCCGTCCACACCTTTGGGGACCCCTGGACCTGCTGGGGTTGGATCCCAAGAACTTCTAGTTGAAACCCAAGTTAAGATTCAGAGAGATTAAGTAATTGGTTCGAATTGGGCTGGAAGAGAGGGAGCAATTTATGACTGATGATTATCTCTTAGACTGGTTTATACCCAGAAAAATCCTGGGTGAAACCTCTCCCGGTGCACTGGCTCAGCAGCGGAGACTGCACCATCTTGAGTAGCTGTTACCGGCACCCAGAGATCGGCTACTAACCCAGAAGCAATGGCTCTCAAGCAGCGCGACTACGTGAACTCAGAGGAGCCCTGGTTCTCCCCACAGAAAGCAAATCCAAGGAACAGCAGCCTCCTGATCACCACACGCTCTGTCTGAAGAACAGTTGCTGTGTGTGAAGCCTCCCTCCACCAGCAAGAAGGGCCACCACAGCTGTGAACAGCACCCATTAGAGGACCTTCTACCAAAGGAGGTGCAGGGGCTACCACAACCGCACAAGGAGCAACCACAGCCCGAGGAGCCACTGCCACCCAGGGAGCAGACACTGAATGACTCAATATCTATATATGACGGTGAGATCAAAATGGGTAGGCAAAGAAACCCCCAAAGAAAAGAAAAGGAGGAC